CCAAACAAACAACAAAACAAAACCCAAATCAACAAAATAAAAATCCAGAAAACAAAACATCATGAAAGAGAAGGCATTTAAGAAGACTGAGAATCACTGGCTTTGGTTTTAAGGACCTCTCTAGTGATGGAGGCTACTCAAGTCAAACGCTTAATTTGTGTTTAACGGGAATAACACATATTTAATTTAAAGTGTCAGTCCTAAGTAATGTAACCACTTGTCACCCCTCCACTGTTCAGGGGAACAGATTATTCCTTTTCTTTTAACAGCACCTTTTAAAGCATCTGTAGACTATTATGTACAGTCTATTTGTCTTTTCTAGTTTATATAACATCAGTGCTTTCCATCTTCCCTCATTGTTCATAATTTCTAAGCTGTGATTCTGTTTATCTACACTGCTTTCCCATTTTCTAATCTTTCTCCTGTAGGTGCTTCTTGAACTGCATTTTTRTTTGGACATAATCTAGATAAAAGATAAAGCAGATGGTGTATGAAGCAGAAAGAATAATTTTATATCTCTCTTTTATTCAGTTCTGAAAGATATTAACTCTGTTCAGAAATATCACTGGTTTGTGAGCTAGAAAAAGATCTGAGCTTTACAGTAAAGATCTGCTTTCTAGCCAACAATCCCCAGCCTGTGTTTGTGCACTTGATTATTGCAGCTTAGAATTCTATCTTTACTGAACTGTAGCCTAGTTTTTCCACTTTTTTCTCTAAATTATCAAAATCCCTTTGATTTCTAATCCTGTCCTCCCACTGCCTTTTTCAGAAGCCTTATGTCATTTTCAAATTCATCAGCATATTCTTTTTCATCCAAGTTATTTAATGAAAATACCAAATAACTTCAACCCTGGGACAGACCTTTGTGGAATCCTGCTCAAAATTTTCTCCCCTTTCAGTGAGCCACTGGTTAACTGCTCTGGGGGTATGGTTTTCCAGCAAGGATTCCACTCACTGCCAGAGCTGCAGCTTGGCACATTTCTCTGGCTTTTTGACGAGATATTGAAAAGACACAGTGAAGTTAACTGCTTCTCCTCCATCCACAAGACTGCAGAAGGAGGGCAGACTGATCCAGCTAGAATGACACATTTTGTTTAAGACAAACCCAGCTGAAAGTATTGCAGGGTAGATCAAAACACAAATATTAWCAACCTTCATCCCACATAATATAATTGGTAGCAAGGTATGARAAAAWTACTGTTTCATGTGCAGCAAATCACTTATAGCTGAACAATGGGAATCACAGTGATCACTGTGTGATTAAGCTAATTACCTAAGCATGGGCTAATAGGTCAAACTTGATTTTCTCTATTGGTCTAATAATAAGGGAAAAAAAAAGTCTGTGTCAGGGCCATCAGGGAAGAAATACTCGTGCACAGCATTTAAAGCTACGTGAAGGCAATAACTGACACACATAAACGCTGGAGYGCATATTGATGATACAAAACAAGTTATTAAGAAAAGCATCATAGGTGTAGATTGGAATACAATCAGCAACTGGAATGCTATAATATGAAATAAATAAGCTTGTTAGAGCTTCTGCTCTTAGGTTCCACTGAACAGCTCGACAGCTAGGACAATTTGGACCTACTGGTGTTATCCTCTTAAAACATTTTACTTAACTCACCTTTTCTCTTTGGTTTGTCTTCATATGAGAGCTTCTCTACTATTTCTGACTTTACTGAAATCTTCCTGAAGCTTGCTGAATTTATGTTGACATTCTCCCTTTTGCCCTTCCTAAGAATCACAAGCTTTATCATTTCATATTTAATGAAAAGAGTCTCCCTAAGGCAAACACATCAATTTTCAGAAAATATTCTGAAATGAGATAAATTGGTGTAAATCTGGAAACAGCACCRCTGACATTTATATAAGATACTCTTAGTAACAGTTCATGAGAGCACTTACAGTAGATAATCCTGATGCCTATCAATGATACATGAAAAGTCCTAGATTAGGCAGATCTTCACTGGGGTTTGCTCTTTGTTTTAATTGTACTGTATCCTTTTTCCTTCAAAGTTACRGCAGGTCTAAACGGCAGTATTCACKTGTTATAACTCAGACTGTATAATGTGTAAATCATTCAGCAAGAAGCCAGGACTTTCAGGGAACTGTAGATTCTCAAATATTTCAAAAATATAACATTCCTGCCTATAGTGCTAGGTGGTATGCTTGCTTTAAAACAAAACAAAAAAACAAAACAAAAAAAAATCAAAACAAAGCAAAAAGAAAACAAACAAACAAAAAAAAAAAAAAAAAAAACCCCACAGGAAGAATTCAACTCTTCTCTGTGTTTCTTGTAGTTTTTCTGAATGGCAGAAACCCAGTCTCATTGTACCTGCTCATACCCAATTTCAGTAAATCTATTTCTAGTGGTTCCATGAGAGAAAAAATGTCACACTAAGAATYRCAGTCTGCTCATTTTACTATGCATRCTTGTATATACATGTGTGCCTGATGTCACTCTTGTGGAAAGCTTTCAGTCTTTCCCCATATCCTGTTCTCTTATAGAGACAGCTAGAAACCTTTAACAAAATATAAAGAAACAGCCTTCCACTCAAATCTTCATAGGGTGTGAAAGACAAAGAGTACTGATAGAACTTCTGAGAACCACTGAGAGGCTCMTAATGTGAATCACATCTTAAGAGAACAATTGGTCTTACAGACTCTAAACCCAATTCATTACTAGACATTTGTCCTTCTACTGGAAATCAATTAACATCTGACAACTTCAATTTCAAAACAGAAAATGTACTTAAAGATATTCCTGGACATTTTTACCTTATTTTAACATGASGCAAAATTGGAAGAAGAAAGCAAATTTTTTTCAAAACATTATCAGCTGGCTATGGTTCAGAATATAGCCCTGCCTCATCCCACTGTATTTTAGTTCAGCTACAGGGAGACTACTCACTGTCCTCCTACAGCCAYTGGAGATGGCTCCAGACACGTCTATTTGACTCACCTAAGGCCCAACACAGATTCCAACTAAATCCCTCTCTCCACTGGCTATAACAGAATTATGTAACGAGAGTGCAGCCCTTCTGCTGAAAACCTGATGAGCCCTTCTCAGCAGCAGGGAGTCATGAGGAGGCTTGGCAGACATTTTAAATATTAGGCCTAAATTCTGCATCTTCGTTTCCAAGTCAATAAGAAGACTCTTTTGACTCACACATACAGACACTTTATTTATTAATGTCTGTGAGACATTTATTTGAAACGCACATCACTGCCTACGTGATCTTTCTTTAGATACTCAACATTAAACAAACACTTCAGAAATTTAGAGCAGGTCTGGAAATCTCCATTTACATTGCTCCAGATTCTCTTATTGCTCTATGACTTTTAATCGAGCCATACTAGATTTGTGGCATTGCAATTAAAAAGAGAATGCAATTTTAGAAAATATCAAGTGGCCTATTTTCAGAAAAATACATTTACAGCTAACTCTTTCAAGTAATAAAAAGGCACAATGATTATTCCAAAAAGATTCATGAATGGATTTTAATATCCAAACCTCAAATTACAAAGAAATTTTCAAAAAATGAAACATTCCTGAACCATTTAGGAAAATGTAAGATCTACAGGAAATTCAAATCTGTAAAYATGAAACAGAATAATTTATGTCTGTTGAGTCAAAAACATACCTTTATTTTAACCTGYGTGAACCTCACACAACAATTCTAATGTGTCTATTCTCCAACAGAACATGGACAGAATCAAAACTTGTAGCTGTACATAATCACTCTTGAAGCATTTTTAAGAGGTAGCAAGAAGAAGAAATTGATTATAAAATTATTTTGAAATATAACTTCACAATAAAAAAATGGCTTTGGCTGTTTGTCAGAACCAAGTTATTTGCTGTTTTGCAGCATATGTAGCAGAATATAATACTTCAACTCAGAAAGTATTTCTGGTCCCAATGCAAAGAACAAAAATATTATTACAGCCCAACTTCTAAACAGAAATACCAACAGTCAAATTAAAATAGCATTTRTAAAAAAGCAGGGCTAAACAAAAGCACACAGTATACAAACTCACATCAACATGAAGCCAGAGGCCATGCTTTTCACAGATATCAGCAATTTTATCCAGAGGATCAAATGCTCCCAGCACAGTTGTGCCTGCTGTAGCACAGACAAGAAATGGTGCTGACCCCTGCAATAGGATTCAAAACAAAAAAAAAAAAAAAATTATCATTTGCACTGCTCATTTTCTCCAGTATACTTGCAGAGTTAAAGGATATAAAGGTCTAGGAATGTAGGACAAAGATGTGACAATCTACATTTTAGTTTCCCAGCAGAAGGTACTGCATTTAAGAGTGCTGAATATGTTTCCTTTTTTTTTTTTTTTTTCATTTAAAAATAAAAAAAATTGCCATTTCTAGTTAACACCATCCCAGGGCAGACTTCTGTAGCTTCAGACTGTTTTGACAGATGCTAGTTTTGTCAAAATCAAAACATACCAGATATGTGACATCTCTCTTTATACACTGATTTTCATTTCTCAGTCTTCCACATTTCACTACCATATTTGCTGTCATTCTGACTGATAAAATAAAGCTACTAGCTCAGCCAGCAGACTATCCATGCAAGCAAAGGGCTCATCCCTTTAGGGTTTCCACCTGCGCTGTCTCTACAACACCCYTATTCTCTGCCTGGTGAAGAGGAAACTTCAGCTAGGGAACGTGATTTGCCTTCAGCCACATTGGCACGCACCATGACAGGGACAGTCACTGCTGATCCCACACCTGACCTCCAGCTCAGCGCTATTCCCTTGCTYCCACTCCTGTCTAGGAAAGAGGAAAGGCTGTACATGGTAACTGAATGTCAGGAGAGAGACTTCTGTGAATGTCAGACAGTGTCAGGCAGATGGTATAAGGAAAACTTTTATCAGGCTGCAGTCTCAGCTAGCCACTGTAAGACACCCAGCTTGGTTTCAGTGGCTTTGCTTTTTGCTCTCCCTTCAGCAGGCTGGTTTGCCAACCCTTGCAGATCTACGTCTCGGTGTCTACATAGCAGCAGAAACTGCAACAATGAAAACTGTTGTCTCAATGAAAAGGGTCTGTAGCAGGTGCATGAGATTGAGGGTATCAGCCCCAGCAGTGACTGTGCAGTCTGGCTGGTAAATGCATGCAGAGAGAGCTGCTCTGCATGGTTCAGCACCTGGCCTGCAGAACAACCACACATTTACACAGGAGGCACTAAAGTCATTATTCAATTGTGCAAGCTGGGACCACTGAAGTTCATTCTCAGTGAATTGAATCTCTCAGATGATGTAAGTGTGTCTGCAGAGGTAACTCAACGTAGCCTTAGTCAAATCAGACATCAGTTGAAAAATCAAACTCCACGAGTCTTCCATATATCTTTACCCAGCTGAGATCTGATATCTATTTTTGTTTTGTTTTTTAATAAAGTATTGCTACTTTAAAAATCAATGGAGACAGACTGGCTTGATTCATTTTTACACCCTGAGAGTTTGATATTTCTTTGCAGTGTAGAGGACTTAGAAGGGTACATAATTATGATTTATTTGTAATTTTAAGTTTCTTTACAAATTGCTAAAGCAGTGAAAAGTAACATCGAAATGAACTTAAATTAAGCCCATACATTCACAAAGACTTACCAGCCTTTAATTTGCTTCTTGGTCATTTATCCTGAGTACAAGCTACCACAATAGTCAATCAAACTTACAAACCAGCCTGAAGCTCAAGTACAAAACACTTGCGAGTGAAGCTAAGATGTATCCAATACATCTATTTTCTGTAAGTGTTCCCAGCAGTTTTCTCCCACAGCTACATCAAAGTCAAAGGTTCTCAAGCAGCCAGTTGGGAGCACAACTGAATACRCCGACAACCCTAAGACCTCTACAAATCCCAACAATTGCTACCTTTATACTTTTCTCACAAAGAAGGGAATTAAATTTTCAGTATTCTTGACAATAGAGTTAAACTAATCTTCCTGCCTATATTCTCTAAAAAGAGGCCTAASACTCTTGCTAGTCATATTTAGTGATCATTTTGTGCTTCTATTACTTGCAAACAAATCATTTTATGTCTAGTCATGAGAATATTTACTGTCATTTACTCTAGTGACCTTCTGTAAAAGTTGTAAAGTAACACTTTTTCAAGGACTGACACACTTACTGAAGCTCTGATGAAACGAAAACCTTCCAATACACTTTAACTTCCATTAAAATGCAAGTGAAATAGTGTTTCCCTGTAAGCAGAGCATTTTAATATAGCACATTTGTTTTTAAATTGCAGAGTACCATACTGAGGTTGGCCTTTTTAAAAAAAAATCATAAATGGTACGTGATTTTTTTCACATGACCATTACATCTATTATTACACAAACAAACAAGAATTCTAGTTTTGCAAAAGCAAAGGGTTTGTTCTCCTGCAAGCCTGCTTCCTCTTACTCTGTTTWTTTCAGTCTGTTTTTCCCCCAAGCTTTCTCAAATGAGTAAAGAACACAGTATCTTCCTCAGATAATACAAAGTGCAGAAAGAGGCAAGCAAAAGAGTTTGCTCAGTCATTAGGGCCCCATGTACCAATAGCTCTGATATTTAGCATGAAACTCAAATGCAAGATGGTTGTTTGGCAGAAAATGTATCTAAACYAGAACTTACTGAAAGGTGTTGTGGCCATGCCAGTGCAGGACAGGACAGGACCGCCTTGGCTTTTCTGTCAGCCACAAGGGTGGTTTTCTCAAGACAGGGTTCCATGGAAGGCATCATCCATGCCATAGATATTGCAATAATTGCTTTGTATTCGCAGACCACACACTAAGGGCTGAGCTCTAAATTCTACTGTTCTGATGCACAAACTGGAAGTGAGAAATAAGGTGAGCCAGCCAAGCCAAAATATACTCTTGGAAGTCACATTTAGTCTTCCAAGCTCTCTGAAATAAATTATGTTGACTATAGGTAAGCGCTGTCTAACAGATTGTGGGAATGTATGTTAATGTTGCCCAAATAACACACATCAGTGCTTTCCAAATGCTTGCCTTTGACTTTCTACTTGGCAAAATCCCTAGGGAGAAAGAGCCTCATCTCTGCACTCTTGCTACAAGAATAGAAAGGACTGAATTTAGCATTTGAAGCCTGTAAGGTAGTTTTGGAGACTAAGCCACATGTTACAGCTCTTGCTCACTGCAGAAGCAATAGAGCAATAGATGCTGTAATTAACTGAAAAACACTTTTAGGAAAACAYACTGCATCCATTTAAAAATGGATCAAGAGCAAAAGAAATCCTATAAGAAATGTGCTAAATACTTCAGAGCAGTATTGTACTCAGGACTTTCATTAGCAGTAAACACCCTGTGGAATTTTCCTCCCATCTAAGAGTGTAGAACCMATAAGCCTTGGCTTGTCCCACAAGTCTGTGGCAAACAGATTGCACCTGTAAGAAAGACATTGTTACATTAACTGCCCTATTTTTAAGGTTTTGGTCACTCTTAGTTTTCCTTCCTTTCACTCAGACACAAGCACACAGTCTGCATACACTCCTCTCTCCTTCATGCTCTCTCTCCCCCTCTCACCTCTTTCCTGGCCCGCTGGACTTGTTTCTCCAGTTCCTCAGGTATCATCTTACCTCTAAGGGACACAGATTTAAAACTTTTTCAGTTACATTCAAATAGGTTAGTTATGTACAGCACTACTGCATTTTAAAAAAGGCTCAGAGATCACAGTCATGGCTTTTGCTTTCTTACCTTCCATCTGTTTTGATGAAGTACACGTTCTCTGTACCAATACCCAGGAAGGAGGCTGCCTTCTTCATGGAGTAGTGGCACTGTAAATGAGAGAATTACCAAAAAAAGGTGCACACACAATTAAAACAAAATAAATAAATCCCTTAACACAGGAAACAATGACACTAAAATTAGTTCAACAGCACCTAACAACCACAACATATTCTRACATAAAAACCAAACTGATAAGCTACACATCACAAAGTCCATCTTTTACTTAACAACACACACTGAAAACTGGGGAAAATAAGACAAAAAAAAAAAGATGTGCACCATGTTTAAAACGTGGAGTTAACAAAAAAATGAGAAGCACTACTCCATACAAATTTTCTTGAAGCTGGTTCTGCATTAGGGTGAAAAGTAGAAGCTTTGAAGTGTCATCAGGAAATAATTATKGTTTCGAAATGTTTTAATAGAAATGAGTCAAAAGTATCAATGAGTGCGAGAATGAAGAAATACATGAGAAAAAAGGTCTAAAGGTTTTTTAACTCAACAGCTCAGAAGCAATGAATTTGGTCTGAAYGTGCAAAAGCACCACTCCTTGGAAACTGGACCTTTAGTTAGGATGYATATTTGCAGCCTCTGCTGCTTTATGCTTGTAACAATTCTGTGTGTTTTCTCTAATCCTCAGATGGTGGCCACAGCCAGAGACAGGATACTCTGCTAAACTGACCCATGGCCCAGTTCAGCAACCCATTTTCACAGGATGAAGGAGCTCAAGTCCCAAGACCTACSAAATCTTCAGGTGTGGTATGATCAGGACTGGTAACGTTCTATTTCTGCAAAATTATCTGAAAATCATGGTGGTGTGAAGACAGTTCACATGAATGTGAACCTTCGAAGCCATTATGAAAGCAAGCAGGCTTTAGACAGGACTCAGCACATCTTCAAAAGTTAATGTGGATTTTGTGAAAGATTCCAGTGTGGACCAGTCTGCATTTTTTTGAAAATTAAGTTACTATTTTAGCAAAGAATTTTAGCTGGGTCTCATCACAGAGACATCTCTAAGAGTGCACAGATACATGGAGCYCACTGCACTGAATAAAGGGCATCAGTCTATGAAACCTGTGAAGTGAGTATAAAAGAGGATATTAGAAATGGTGTTTATTTAATCACAATGTGATAAAAGGACTAAGGGGAGGATGCTATTCAAGTCCACAGACCATTCTTTTTATGCCTATTTTTTCGATTGAACAAATATTAATGGTTTATCTTACCACATTTCCAACATTCACCTCTATAAGGACCGGTTCTAATGTGGATAATATTATTCCAACACAAGAACACTTTGTCTTTTTCCAGAATAAGAGATCTCTGCTTAATTTGTCTGCAAGATTAGCCTGGGAATTCAAGATACAGTAATCTTCTTAACCTGAAGATATTTAGACATCAAAACTACCAGCTCATAGCAGTAGAGTTAGTTTTGAGAGTACACCACATGCTGTAGGATTAGACAATTATGAGAACCAAGATCATCCAACCCCTAGATTATCACTGCCCTTCTCAGAAAATAAAATTGGCTCTTTTACACATTATTACTGAAGGGTTAAAATAATGCACACTCCAGCAAACATGAAGATGTCTAGAATTGTTACTTTTCACACAGGAGGTGAAGCCAGGTGGTTAATTAATTCCATTCTCTTCCTGAGAGTTCACACAAATGCAGTTACTGCAGAACATAATTATGAAAAATGTACAACATTTTAATGTGTGGGCACGAATATATTAAGGGTATTAAAGCCTGTCACGCTTATTTTGATGAGATGGATGATCTCAGAAGGCTCTTTTTCTTTTTGACAAAAAGGTTTCCCCCACCAATAYCCACTTTTTAAACAAAGGCATACAAAGACACTACCTGATGCTATTGAGCAGCTTAAAGAAAGCTTAATTTGCAACATGACACATCCACAAGGCCTTTAGGGTGCTTTCATTTAGACTGTTACAAGAATAATAACATACATAGGTGGATAATTAGTCTTACATTACATCAAATTACATCAATAATGGTAATAATGATTGCAAGTGGCTGTGTATTTCAGCAGAAGTTTGGAGATGTTTTTGACTGACTAGTGAATCACTCAAAATACAAGTTGCCTCYATCACTGATTTCTAGCCATTACTTTCAAATTAAAGGTATGAATCACCAAATAAAATCAGAATGCTCCAAACTGAGAACGCAGTAGACCTGCAAATTCAGTATACTAGTAAGCAAGCAAACAGTAATCATATATTTTATTATAAAAAATGGTATGAGAGACTGAAAGAAAGATAAAAGTAGCTTGAGTACCGGAGAGATTACACCAAAAAGCAGTGAAAAAGAGAAGAACAAAGGGAATACCAAAACAAAACAGGCTGCAAGATACATTATTTTTCCTCCAGAAGTACTTCTGTACTTCTTGGAAAATTCTGTCCTTCAGTACAACAGACAAAAAACAAGACTTATAATCCTACACAGACTTGGAATATGATTTCTTTGACCAAAAAGGTAGTCTTCCAGTAATATTGATTGAAAACATGTAAGAATTTCTTTCCCCCAACCCCTCTACTATCATTACTAGAAGMCATTATGCCAAATTGCATTGCATCATTTTAAGAAAAAATATACCAAAGACCATTTAGCAGCTCCAGTCATGAGAATGTCAACTAATTGATTTTTCATAGTTCCCTTTCCAAAAAAGGAGAAATATCCAGATTAAAGGTATTATTTTAAATATTGTGAGTTCAGAATACTCTTGCCATGTCTTTCACAGTTTTGTTTGTTTGGACAAATTATTAAATCGGWACCATTTGTAGTAAGAAATTAACACCTCTGAGCACAAGATCAAATTGCAACAGTGCATTTAAGATGTGCTGATGTACTATTTTACCTATAGCTASACATAGTTTTCATTTCCTAATAATGTTTGCAAAGACAAGATACTTTCCACCTGTGCTCATTAAAACCCAAGATAAATTTGTATCTTCTTGATTTCAAATTTTTCCTAGAAACATGATTGCATAAAGCAATTACATTATTATGAGATTGTTTTATTACTCATTTTTGTCTGTTGTAATTTCAACAGGGGACAACATGATGAGTTAAGGTTGTGTTCTCTCACTTTAGTACTTTCATGATCAAGTTGCACTGGGGAGGAATTTARTTTAACTGCATCTAAAAAACTGCTCATATCAGCATGCATATTTCAACRGTTTACACATCTTCTTCTACCCTTAGTTACCTCAAAATTAGAAGATTTCTTCCTTTCAGAGCAATGTAACACATACTTGTGCCGGAATAAAGTTTATATGGGACTCAAATAGCAAAAAGTAATAAAAAGTTGGGCTGATATCTGTAACTACAACTGTGTTCATCTCCTACAGAGATCAATCGTCCCTCAAGAAAGTGGGATATAACAATTACTCTTCCATTGCTAATGTCTCAGGAGGAATTCCTCTGCCATGGTCCAGCAAAAGCACTACAGAGTAGCAGCATGAAGAGTGTTCACTATGTGCCACCACAATATTAAATACCTAAGCATTTCACTTGCAGGAACAAGGAGCCTTTTCAGCCCTGAAGGCCAAACAGAATATGTGAGGACCTTGGGTGGGCCGTGCATTAAATATACATGTTTATCTTAACCGAAAACATACTAAAAATACGCAGCCCCAGACCACATAAAGTTAAGTCATTGAAAGTTTGTGCGTTCCCCTGCTCTGTAGCAGAGCAGCTCTTTCAATCTGACAAGTGCCAAACTGAAACTTAGGGACTTGGCAAACCAAGGCCAAAACCATTTTATTTCAGCACAGGGCTGCAGCCAAGCCCTAAAATGACACAAAGGCCTTGAACAGTCATGTGTTTTGACTCTTTATCAATACTCAGTTCATTATAGCCTCATGGCTTCTCCGTGCCAATTCTGTTGCCTGAGTCATGATGAAGATAAATCCAGATCTTTCTCAAAGTCTTATTTTAGTTTTTGTTTATTTGTTTTGTTGGGGTTTTTTTTGGACAATTTGCTTCTCCAGGTACCTCTTCAGATAAAAAAAAACCTATAAAAACAACCCCAACAAAAATGAACGATGTTTGGATTAGGAGATCAAGTGTATTCTCAGGAAGTTCAGATGACACCAAGCTGGGTGGGAGATTGATCTGCTGGAGAGTAGGGAGGCTTTGCAGAAGACTCTGAGCAGGCTGGATATATGAACAAGGCCAAGGGTGTGACATTGAACACGCCAAAGTGCTGGGTCATGCACTTGGGTCACAACAACATCAGGCAGTGCTACAGACATGGGGAAGAGTGGTTGGAAAGTGGCCCAGTGGAAAAGGACCTGGGGGTGCTGRTTGAYRGCCRGCTGAACATGASCCAGTGTGTGCCCAGGTGGCCAAGAAGGCCAGTGACATCCTGGCCTGTATCAGAAACAGTGCGGCCAGCAGGATCAGGGCTGGGATTGTTCCCCTGTACTTGGCACTGGTGAGGCCRCACCTYGAATCCTGTGTTCAGTTTTGGGCCCCTCACTACAAGAAAGACATTGAGGGGCTGGAGCAAGTYCAGAGGAGGGCAGTGGAGCTGGGGAAGGATCTGGAGTGATTGCTGCAAGGAATGGGTGAGGGAGCTGGGGGTGCTCAGCCTGGAGAAAAGGAAGCTCAGAGGGACCCTATTGCTCCCTACAACYGCCTGAAAGGAGGGGAGAGCCAGGTGGGGGCCAGGTCTTCTCCCARGCAACCAGCAGCAGGATGRGAGGACATAGCCTCAAGTTGCACCAGGGGACGCTCAAGTTGGACAACAAGAATTTCATCATAGAAAAGGTTAAACACTGGAACAATTTGCCCAGGGATGTAGTGGAGTCAGCATCCCTGGAGGTGTTCAAGAAACAGCAAGACATGGTATTTAGTGTCATGGTCTTGTTGACATAGTGGAAATCRGTCAAAGGTTAAACCTAAAGATCTTAGAGGTCTTTCCCAACAAAATTATTCCTCGGTTCTGTGATTCAAAAGTGCAAAGTGTAAAATAAGACTCAAAACAATAACAAAAAAAGTAAGACTGTGTGAAACCAGCACTTCTGTACTTATCTCAAGTACAGACTATTGATTACATATATTCTCAATATGGCATATCTGAACAAAATTTCCAAAAAGTCATGTATCTTGGAGTCAGCACAGATGGATCTGAAAAAAGTATAAATTAATATGCCCATTTCCTCCCTCATCATCATGAATAAACACTAGTGATCTTAGAAAACAGTCATGTCATCTACTTATTACAAGCATCAGTTTTACAGCAAGTGATTACTGAGTACAGTTTTGTGAATCAAACAAAGTATTAGAGATCCAAAGCATGGCCTTATAAATAATTTACCAATTTATTTTTCCTGGTTAGCTCTATGTTTTATGATTTTGGCCTCCCTGGTGAGGTAAAGATATAAAAATAAATTTATACTGGCAGTCAATTAAAATTTCTTTTGACATGAAATTAATTCTTTGCTTATTTCAGAGTAAGAAAATACATTGTAGTTTAAGTTTGCAGTGAAATAAAATGTTACTTAATGATAAAAGTTTCATATGTTTCACTTCAAAAGCATTAATGTAACTTGCTTCAAACTAATTTTTTCCTCCTTAACTATTTTGAAGATGTAACATGATGTAACTGGTATGTCATTTCATATACACACTGTTAAGGAAAGAAAAAAAAAAAAAACCCAAACAAGAAAATATATTTTGGTTGAAAAAAAAACAAACAAGCAAACAAACCACCTTTATTTAGGACATGTGGACTCAGTTCCAGAAGACATGGCTATCTTGGACAACTTATACAATGCCTACATCCCTCAGACTTCTTCAAAATAAGCCTCTCATCTATGTACACTGCAAACTGTTTGGAGCATAAACATCTAAGCTGAAATTATTCTAGTAACTGTATTTTCTAATACAACAAGGTTCTGTGTGGGCTTCCATTGGGGTCTTTATGTAGTAAACTCAGAATTAATAACAACTCTGCACTAATCAAATGATAAACTCTTAAAACTGAAGGGACGGGGAAAAGAGCCTCCAAAAATTACCTTTAGAATAGATSTATGAATATAACTCAATTTCCCACAGGCATCTTGGACTAATATTATTCAAAAGCTTTAAAATAAGCCACATATATTCAATTATTTAAAGAAGAAATGTCTAAAGGTCCAGCATTTTTTTCCGAGAGCCATATGGTGGGTTTGATTCTGTACCACAACCAATCTGTATTCAGACACAGGGCAGAGTGGGAGCTGCACAGAGCCATCTCACAGGTCCCCAGGTACTCAGTTTAGTACAAATTAAACATGCAGAAAAAAACCTTTGACACCTAAAACCTACCTACAGTTCCTGCTAGACTTTATGTTGTGGGAAATCAGATGCTCCACAATACACCACATGCATTCTGCTTCAGGTTTCCCTCATGTACAACCTATTCTTACATCAGCAATTTTCAAAGCAGGAACATCTGTGTTTGTTTTCTGAAAGCAAGGAAGCTTCTGCAGGGAAATTTACTATCAGACTTCTCCACTTAGCTCCAATATTCCACAACATACAMTGATGTCAGAATTATTGCACAAATGCCCCATCAGCTAGTCAAATKATACGATTTTGCAGCTATTGAAAAATGAAGTTCAAAAATATTTGTTTCRTTTTTACCTCTTCTGAAGTGAACARGACTAGYCTTGGCAGACCTGAAAGCCCTTTCTCCTTTATCTCAGGACAAAATTTGTATCTTGCTAAGTTCATAGCATACATATTGGAAACAGAGCCACCTGCAAAAAGAGACATACAAATATTGTATTAGCCACAGCGCGAGTACCTTYCCTGCATCTGAGTGTTTGACCTTTGAGGGGAAAAATAAACCACACAGGTAGCCTAGTGATGTATCCATCACTGTTTATTTCCTCCCCTGAAGGCTACACACATAAAGTGAACCTTGGGCTCTGCAGCAGGCATGGAAACAGAGCCTGTCTGAATACTCTTTGGGGATATTTCTTGAAGAATAAGAGCTGTGCCCAAGCAGTCCTTGCTGACAGAGAACACCCTGTCACAGCACCTTTCCCCCTAGACTGAGCAGTGCAGCTCAGCTGCCTGCACCAAGCTCAGAGCCTTGGAGATCTCTTGGGCAACCAGGCCTCGGGGGACCATGGGAGAAACAATTCCTCGGGAAAAAACGCCAACCAAAACGAAGCACAGTGAGTGGGAATAAAAAGATCTGCAAGGCAAAATCTGGACAAGCTTTATTCACTCAGGACACATTTTATTCACCCAGAAGAACAAAACCAAAGCAGCAGGAAAAACCTTTACATAAAAATAGAACCAAAAAAAAAAGGACAATTAATTTATCTTCTCTCAGTAGATCACTAAGGTTAAAGCAAGAAATTCTGCTGTAAAAGTAAGGCTTCTACCAAAAATATACATCAAATTTGATGTGTTAAAAA